CTGACCACCACCAGTAGGCAACGGGTGAAGTGTAGGACACAACGACCGAGACTGTCCGGCTCGAACCGGCAACCTTCCGATTACAAGGCGAACTCCCGACTCTTGAGCCACGATCGCCCAATATACACTGTTAGCCTTTGAAGTGCTTTTGATAACTGGTGCAAATGATCATCTTACCACAAAGCATAGTGGTGGAGTCTATCAGGCTGTGGATCCAGGCCGTGTTGGAGTAATCCTTCTCAAAGTGCATTTGAAACTCAACAAAGAACATGGAGACACATCTGCATACAGAGAGATTGTTTGTGACATGAATAAGGAAGAGTGACATAAAGCAATAAACTGATGATAATAGGATTAGTAGCTTTCCTCAATAACAACTTCAAAGAGGTTTATTACATTAAGTCAATAAGAAAAGAGAAAGTCTTCATATCGAAGAACAGATAAAACATAATTAGTCTGTCAGTTGGGCTAACACCGTATCTTCAGGTCAGTTTAAGATGGGATCTTACATCCACTATCTATATCATGTATATATTAACTTTGGGTGATGATTTGGGCCAAATGCAATATTAATTAGACTATTTAATACTTGCCAAATCCTAGTCTGTCAGACTTGGCAACCAAGTATAATGTTTATCAGGTTATGACAGGCATTTATATCAAACAGTTGGAGGGCTCTGCACTCCATGACCTGTATTTTTATTCACCCTTGCTGTCTGTTACTTAACACCAGGCAGGACTTCTTGTTCTTGAAGCCTCAGACAAGAACAGTGCTGTAAATCACTCACCGCCTTGATAAAATTCACATTAAAACAGAATTCGATGCATTATTATTTTCATCATTACACACTTTTTCATTTCTTGTACTTTGTTTGCCAGTACTACAAAAGCTTTAGCAATGTTAGCTTTTATTTCAGGCAGAGAAACAAACTAGAGGATGAATGGCTTTGTTCTTCAATTTTACAAGCTAAGACGTTTTCTCTAACATCCTGTTAGGTGTTAAAAAACAAAACAACAAAACATATTTTTTCCCCCCAGGAAAATCTACGGTTTCAAAATCAAATGTAAACTATAGGGGTGACCTCACAGGGTTGAAAGATTATATTATCTATTGAGATATATGGCAAGTGACATTATGTCCTGCGTGAGCTGGGGTGGTTGGGAAATACTGAGTATTATAAAGAACATGTTCGTAATTACATGGAAAAACACAACACTTCACCAAACGTCTTCCTCCCAGCACATGCTGTAAACTATACAGGTCACTTTTTTTT